CCCTTCGAAACAAATCAATTTTGGAGACGAAAAACGGCAGGAATTAAGTTCAACACCTAATATGTTCACTGTGTAATGGAAAACGTTTATTAGGTTTTTTGTATATTAATGTATAATATATACGTGGCATTGGAAAATAGTCTCATCATGATAGTCACGTAGTTTCCAAACCGAAAATAGATGCACTAATAGTGTACGATATTTAGAGACATCGGCAAAAAAGCCGGGCTCTCTGATTTCTCTCTAACTTAAGAATTTCCTTTCTCTCTTTCTCTTTCTTTCTTTTGCGACGCGACGCGTGACGCGCTTAGTGGAAACCCTCCTTTACAGTGTCTTATACCATAGATGCGTATTCAGATTTCCACCTGGGTCACCTAGGTGCTCTCCAAGTGTCATGTCATCCTTGTCTAATGTACGATAAACACCAAAGATGAAGCGATACCTGGGTGACACTCGAGTGGGTATCAGAACTAAGTACATGTGATCAGCAATGGATTGGCAGCACTGCTAATCGGCTGAAAGTATATGATCACGTATGGTGAATAATTTGTTAACACGTGGGATATAAGGCTCATCCAAAGAATAGAAATTAGCAACATACGCGTGTACAACAATTGCCGGAAAGAGGTTATTCTATGTGAAGTGAAAATCGTACATACTCATCGAAGTAAGTAGCTCGGTCTAATTTATTTTAATGTGTGCTTAACCTTGTTCCTCTTGCCGCTCCACATGCTACTTCGCGATCACACGTGCTGTTTTACTTATATCGACGAAAGCTTCTCGATTGCAAGTTGAATTCGGAACAGCGCTTTACGAGATAGATCTGTCATTAATTAGACCCTAATAGAGTCCTTAGAGTTCCGATAATTTGTCTGTTTAATAGATGTCTGTGGTATCCTCAAGAATCAGCAGTGTGTCATCTATGTTGAAAAACAGCGAAATTAGAGCGCAGTTTATTAAAAAACCTGACAAAATATGCACACTCCCGAAAGATGTTAAAGATATATTATATAATTACAAGGGTATTAGAAAAAAAAAATACGAAAAGTTGATACATTCGATAAAAAATGATGTTATAAAGGTAAGACAGACAAAAGACGCAGAGAAAATTTGCCAGTCTTTTACAATGCTTGATATATATGTATCATATAGTTTATATATTAATTGTGTATTATGATGTAAGATACTTTCTTTAAAATGTTCTTTTTGTTTCTTTTTTTTCTTTTCAGGATAACAATTTAGCAGAATTTATAACTGAAGTAATGCAGTATATATCCTTGTTAGATATTGAACGCAAATTGTTTGTTGAAGCACTTCTTCAAATTGACTGGACGAATAGATCATCACAAGTGATTTTTACGTATAAACTCTTTTTGCAAAATTTAGCATGTGTGCAGACATTTCACACAAATATTGTAATAAATTGTCTCGTCGAATTATTTAAACCAAGTAAATTTTATATTTATTATTAGTCTATATAATATTATTTTATTGATAATAATATAACATTTATTATAATACTTATTTTTATAACAGAAAATATCGAACATGAAATTGGACAACTTAAAGATGAAGATGTGGAAAGGCTAAATCATATACATGATATATTACGTGAAATTTTGAGAGTAGTACCAATGTAAGATATGAAAAAGTGATTATAAATTATTAATTTTTGTTATTAATATATACATATATACATGTTATAATTTTTTAGGTCAAATAAGGATTTACTTGAAGCCCTTGAAACACATTTTCCATTCTATCTTGTACATGGTACTTATATACATGAAATTTATGTCTATGCATTGTTAGAAATTCTGAATTATGCACCTCAGCTAAGAAGAAATATTTTAATCCTTATTATTAGAAAGTGAGTTTTTCTATTGACAAAACTATTATACTCAGTAAATGAAATTTTCGACTTTACTGTAATTAATGAAATGTAGAAATAGATTATCATTTACCTCATTCTTTTACTGACAACTTTTAACTAATTAACTTCTTATAAAATTTTAAAGCTTACATAAGATGAACGTTTGATTTGAACTTGGAATCTATCAACTGTTCTCATACAAAATTATTTTTTTTACTTTACTAGTAAGAGAATAAATAGTATATCTGTATTTTAGGCTAGTGACATTGGATGCCAATGTACCTTGTCAAGAAGTGAACAATGATGAAAACATGGTAGAAGATGATTGTATCAGTAATGGAACAGGTGATAATGACAATTTGACCAAAATTAACAGTGATACAGACAAAAGTAGGATTATACATCCAACTGCACGTATACTAGACTCGTGCCTGGAATTATTTTTTAAATATATGCACGAGTTTTGTTTTGTGAATGACGTTCTGCAAATGAAGAACCTGGAAATAATGTATAGCGATATTGTCTATGCATTTGAAAAAGAAATATTAAATATGTACGGCATTCGATATGTGCAATATATCGTGTTCTACATGTGCAGTTTTGGACAATTGCGAATTTCTACAATTGAGGAAAGGTTTACAAATTGGTTGTGGCGAGAAGTGGTTGTGAAACCTAATTCTACAGTACCACCGATTTATCGGCAAACAGCTGTTTGTTATATTTCTAGTCTGCTTGCAAATGCCTCATTTATTTCTCCGCAGTAATTAACACATCTTTGATAACATTACATAAATAATACGTATCTAAAAAAAGAGCGTACTTAATATTTCTTATGTCATTTTCTTTTAGATTAGTGAAAACGATGATCTCTAAATTGACACAATGGCTAAACGAATATATCACTTCGCAAGAATATTCGGAATATATTGAGGATTATGCAAGACATGCTGTGTTTTACTCTGTTTGTCAAGCGTTCTTTCATTTATTTGTCGCAAGGTACAAGCATTTTGTATTTGACTTGAAATATGGTGAGTCATTTATACTTGTATGAAAGCCACAGATTTAACAGCGAGATTTGTATAAACATAGTTTTTATCTTTTCAGAAAAATTTCTTCAGAATCTTTCTCTTTCAATATCCAAAATTGTTACTTGTAAATTAAATCCCTTGAAGATGTGCGACACCAAGATCGTTCACGCTTTTGCCCAAACTACAAGAACATATGGACTAGCCTACTGCGATTCTGTAATCGAATATAACGAGCGCAATCAATTACCCATTTTCGGAATGGAATCGCATTTGCCCGTTCTGATTCCCAATTTTTTCCCGTTCGAATCTTATACATTAGAACATAGTGGACGGAGAATAGCTCCTTTATTTTATAATAATAGGGCAAATATTGACTGTCGATCAGTTAACAAATGTGAATAAGAAAATAAATACATGATTTACACATATGTATATATAAATAAATTATGATGCCACACAGAGAGAAAAAATTTGCTATGAATGCACAAAGGATTGCAAAATTTAATTGTCAAATTTGCTTACACAGCACATTTGACAAATATTTTGCATTGTAAATAATTTTTGTAACGAGTATTAAAAAAATAAGTATTTGTTACACCTGCAAATAATTTTGCGATTCTCATTTGCTTGACATAGAATTAGCGTTCATAGCTTTCTTTCTGTGTACATCTAAAATCAGTATATGCAGGTAGATTCTTTTTATTTTTTCGATTGTTTGTAGGAATTGAAAGATACATAAGAATTACGTAATGCTATTTTTTTAAAGTTGCTACGTTTTATCGAAAAATTATATACAATAACTTATTCAATAAAATGTCATTTCGAAATGATAAAATTAGGCTGTGTGTACACTTTATTAATGTTACATCAATTTAAAAAGGAAATACCGGATAAACGGAGAATATTTATATGCTAGAATATTTATTGACAAGATAAGTTCTGCACTTAATAAAGTTATCCAGATACATCCATTTTACATCTAACGGTTAGACGAACGCGCTAAAGTTAAATAATTCTGATTGATCGTATTATTTTTCTGAGATTCCATTTTCCGAAATTCCGACGTAATGAGGAAGCACTCTTAAACTAATCGATTGCTTTTTTCGTACATTAATGCCCGTTTTTACGTATTAACTTTAATCTTGGTTTAACCTGACCTATCTTTTTCTGTTCTAAGAATTATAAAAGAAAACAAAGAATCTATTAAATTAAAATTAAATTTAATCTACATCGATAGCAATATACTCCTCTTATCTTTTTCTCTTTATCTTAACTTTTAGAACTAGAAGATAAAATAAAAAATTAAACCTAAATAAAAATGAATATAATAATCAAATTAAACTAAACTAATTGTTTAAAGACTCCTTTTATTAATACAAAAATAATAAATATAATCGTGAAGGCTATCAACGCAAAAGTTAATCTACATTGAAAAAAATGGACATAAGTTGCGGAACTTATTTGGATTGCGAATTTACACGCAGGTTTAAAGTTCGTGATCAAACGGCGTCCCGGAAGTTCGGCGTAGAATAGTTCTGCGCAATAATCGCGCCATCTTCCCGTGCAACGTACCGTCCGTCTGTTCCTCGTTGGTCGTGGTGTTGGTGATCGCAAACCATCGCATCGCAGCGCGGTGTTCGCCCGTGCGAATGGATACGTAAAATGGCGAGGTGCAGTTGTTATTTATTTTCGCCGAACGCATCCAAGTGAGATCGGAAGAAAAACGAGTTAAAGTGCTGAGTACGGTCTCTAGCTCGAATTTGTTACGGCGTGTTTATATAAAACACAACTTGTGGGAATGATCGTAAGTATCGTCGTTGTACGCTCATTATTGAGACATCGGTAGTCTCGCGTAAGTAGAGAAGAAAAGATCAGTATCGTCGTCGCCGTCGCGCTCGTTGTAACGCGTTTCTCGATCATGTGTTTTTCAATCAACGAATTGTCAGTTGCGCCACGCCGTGCCTCTCCATGAGATAACGTGTCGATACCGGCCTTTGAAGCCCCTCCCCGTCCCTACGATTAATCCTTTAATCCATGCGACGAGGTTATGAGATTCCGTTTAAGAACAGTTCCGCGAGTACGATTTTCCCGTTTTAAATCGTCAAAAACGTGCTAATTTCTTGTTTATCATTATCGGTCAGTTCGCCTGAATATTCGGAACCTTCTGTTTATCCTCCGTAACGGACGTCGTGACGAGAAGACGAGGAAGCACGGTCGCGACTCCCTTTGTGCTCTGGTTTTTAGGTTATGATCGTCGCGAGCTTTAAACCGTACGCTGTCGCGACGTTCCGTTGCTCTCGATCACATTGCTCCATCGCGTTCTTAGAAGAATCCTGCACTGGCTCCTGCACTGAAATCGCTGTAGATCTTGTGTTCGACAACCGCATCGCGTAGCTTTCTCCAACAAGTGTCTTGTGGAAGTTAAATCAGCTTGTCCTAATTACATGTGGCGTCAAATCACTGTAAATATATTGTCGAATATAACATGTTAATGATAACGTTAAGGCATCATCTTCTCACGTTTCCCACATCTTTTGCACAAAGAAATATTTAAATATAAACAATCTGTTCTTGTATTCCTTACAGCTGTTCAGTCACTTTAGATCATATTTGTTCATTATGTCAAAAATCAATTTGTTACATCACTCTATTTAATATTTTACGTTATTCACAATCAGGGTAAACTAATTTTTTGAATCAAGTATTAAAATAAATTCGTTAAGCTCGACACTTTTCTTAATTTAAAATCTCAAGTTGTATGATTGGTGTGATGTTTTCAATATCGTTATCTCTAGATTTATTCATGTTGCAAGCTCCTATCATAGCTCTTGTTCACTCTAACGAACGTACTGGAGTATTGGAGAATGCGACACAAATAATTCATCTCTCTTGTTTCACAGCTTTTTTATCATATATAGCCTATTTTATAATTATGTAAATATAATTGTAGTTTTAGTTGTAAGAATTGATCAATTACAGTTGACTATGAGGAGAATATTCAACTATGATTGCTCGATTCTTTCAACTACAACTGCAATTGTAGAATGGGCTCAAATATCTGTACAATAACACATAACAACACCAACAGTTGGTAGACATGTGCAGAATACAGGTCCAGTTACGATACATTAAGGATCATTTACAATAGAGGCTGTGTGTAAGCTGTAAGCCATAAGATATTGACTAATCGCAATCTAATGTGAAGAAAGTAATTAAGGATATGGCACAAAAAGATTTAACCAGTAAGGTCAGGAACATAGAAAAATGTAAGGGAATAAGATGTAAGCAGTACGCGAATTGGCCAATTATAAACTGTCTGTAATGGAAGTAATATTGTGTAAGCCGTAAGCTGTAATGAGTTTTCTACAATAAGCCATTACCTAAGCTTTGAGCCTTAAGCCGCAAGAAATTGACCAATAATGACCAATTACAATCGAATGTCTGTGTTTCTGTGATTGGTCGATTTCTTGCGACTTAAAATTTACTACATCGTACTATTTCCATTGTATGATGTTAAATGCATGATTGGCCTCGCAATAGAGGTCGAAATCCACTTGGCTAAAGAAAATGTTAAACGTGTGCGGCAGCTCTAAAACGTATACAGTAAGCGAATTTGCCAATCACAATAGAAAACATGACCGTAAGGTCATAATGTAAGCAGTAGCGACTCCAACATGTTGAATCTCTTCTGCTTACATTTTATTGCTTTTTTCTATGTATCATGTCCTTTAATCGACTATCACATCGATTTTTTATAACTTACGGTATACTACCTCCATTATAAATAGTCCTTTAATGATTGGTATACATGCGGAGATTATTTTGTTTAATTAAAAACTAATATAAAAAATTATTATTATAACATTTTAATATAAAAAAAGTGACCTACACAAAGAATTTTACATTATTCTTGTTTTATTTATCATGAGTTACGTATATTCTAAAAAGTTTGTTAGAACGTACCTCGTGATATAATTTATGTTACTTACTATATATAAGATTACAATTATTTTATCTTTTAAGGATGTAGACACAATGAAGAGCACAGACAATAAGGACAGGAAATTAACAAATTTCAACCTAGAAACCATATATTCTGATGTAACCGGTAGGTTGAAATCTGTTATTCCCTGTTTCTATTGCCTATGCTTTTCATTAAGTGCATCTAGTAGTACAATTACTCATTAAAGAGCTAAGTAGTAGTCGAATGTGATTAGTTCTTACCTTTAAATCTACTAATCACATGAAGAATGTATTTCGTTATTTACTGCGAGTATTGAAAATTTATAGTTCACGTTATATATACTATAGATTTTCAGTACTCATAGCGAATAACGGAACGCACCTGAAATTGCTACTCATACCTTGTCCACAACTTTACTTTAAGAGGCCGTAAGCTGTAAGAAATTGACCAATCACAGTCAATTATTTTTCTCATTTAACTGTGATTAGTCAATTTCTTAGAGCTGCCGCACACAAAATTCCGTAACATTGATCGTAAGACGTAAACTTAAGCCGATGAGTCAATCAGAATATTGCTTTAGATCTACGTACTCTAACGGAAATAGAAATAACAGTAAACTTAAGGCAAATTTCAACCGGTTGAAATTCACTTTATTGCGAAGTTTTGGATAAGTTTACTGTCTTTTCCATTTCCGTTAGATTACGTAGACTTAAAGCAATATCTTGATTGGCTCATCGGCTTAAATTTACGTCACTGTCTTACGGTCACTGTTGCGGAATTTTGTATGAGGCCCTTAGGGCTTACTGCTTACGGCCTCTTAAAGCAAGGTTGTGGACTGAGCAAACATGTTGGGTTTGCTACTGCTTACGTTATGGTCTTACGGTCTCTATTGTGATTGGTCGATTCACTTACTGCTTAAGTCTTACGCCTTAAGTTTTTTTTATGTGCCATGGCCTTAATTGGTCGATTCGCTTATTGCTTAAGTCTTACGTCTTAAGTTTTTTTATGTGCCATGGTAGTGGCTGATACCTTGTCCACAACCTTGCTTAAGTCCGGACCTACAATAGATTTTTAAGCCGTAAAAAATGGACGAATCACAATCGATTATTCTCCTCACATTCGACTGTAATTGGTCAATTGCTTACGGCTTAAGGCTTAAAATACCTGTTGTAGATCCGGACTAAATCTTGCGTTTTAAGTTTTTGTATATGCCAAGGCCTTTAATGAGTGATTGCACTATGGATTTATCTATTGGATGCTTTCCATTTAATGTAACACAAGTCATCACCAATATAATTTCATCTTTCTTGACATTCAATGAATAATAAAGACAGAATGATGTTTGTGACAACTTTTGTCATCAAATGGAAAGTGTAGTTTCTAGACCTGTAATGTCTAGGCCTTCAGTGAACTAGAAATACACATTTACTATTTTCAAATTTGTTAACATGTTAATAATTAATTGTGTTAGTGATGAAGCTCTTTGTACATA